AATCTTATGGCTGAGCTCTGATTGGTTTGTGGTTGTGTATGGCCAATGTAACTCGGTGGAAAATATCTGAAATTACCAGAAGGACAAAATGAGTAAGTATGACATTGTGTATTTTGGTTTTTTTTTTTTTTTTTTTTTTTTGCTTCTGGTCAGTATGCCTAACGAAATGTGTCCATGTGAAATTTGTTTTTTTTTTTTTCCTCTGATGTTCTGAGAATGAATGTGCACAGTCATAACCCACTTCTCAAAGTGTAACTTGGGCACAGTTCCCTGGGAAAGGGATCCAGCGAGAAGGGTTTTAAGGCTTGATCTCTACTTCACGTGACTTGTGCAAACTTCTGTTGTTAGAATTGTGGAGGGTGTACTGTAGTGGTCAAAATGTCCCTGTTTTCCCTTTAAAGTAGACTGAAGCTTACGGAATAGAAATCCTGGTTACTGAACTACTCAGCTCTCAAATGAATCACTGGATTTAACTATGGATGTGTCTGACAAATACTCAAATGTTGAAATATGTCTGGTCCATTAGTATCCACTTATACAAGTAAACATTGGTTAAAATACAGAAGTAAAAATCTTCATTAGAGAAAGTGTGTCAGGAAAACAAAAAACCAGAATTTACCAGTGAAATCTTATTATCTAGAATCAACAGCTATTAATGACTTACTACATTTCCTTTAAATCATGGTGTTAGTGAAGGATTAGTTAAGATCTACACTAGTGCTTGATATTTTGTCGACTTAATAAATAGTTGTGCTGTGCAGCCTGAAGATTTGTGCATTCCATGTGGCCAGAGTTTGTTTTCCTCTTGATTATAGCTGAGGAAGTGTTCACCTACTTTGCAAGTTACTCCTGCCTGGGACTAGCTTTCCTTTGATTGTCTAGGCTCTTGTGTTTGGAGAGGTTAGTCTCAAGACTTACCGACAGAGATGTCATAGTTTATATTGTTAACGCAGTAAGTTAATTAGTGAATATTGCCCAAGGTCTGGCCCCTGCACTGGCATGGGAATATAGCTGGAAGGTCTGTCGCAATTTCTAGAAGCGAATATGCTTTTTACTGTACTCTTGAAAAGAGGAAGTACTTGATTTTTCCTCACTCATGAATGCTCTAATTCATTTATTCAGTCAATCATTTCTCATTGAGTCCCTATGAAATGTCACACATTCCTGTGGATATAAAATAATAAGCAAAAACAAATTGTCCAATTCCTAGCCTCTGGGACATCACAGATAAATACAAAATTGCATCTGTGAACAAAAGTGCTCAGACGAAAGTGGCGGTTCACCGGAGTCAGTCAGACACAACAGTCCGGCATGGCCGCTCTGCCTTGGAGCACGGCCCCTCTGCTTTGGTGGTGAACACGCTGTCTGCAGCCACGTCAGACAGTGCTTGTGATGATGAAGAGGGGCCTGCAGAGTTGCACACATGTCAATCCTTGAGTTGATGGAGCTGCAAAACAATGCTGAGAATTGGCCACATTCAGGATTCTTATTTCATAGTTAGTAAAAAACCAAAAACAAAAAACCTCTTCCAGTGTATTTAATCCGTACCAGGTCCTAGTTTCAGTCACTTGGACTCCAGTGCTCCCCTACGTGCTGTCCTAGGAGATCGGAGAAAAAGTTGCCCGAAGCAAGTTTTCACTCACTAACTGATATCTGGAGAATGAACAAGATTTACTGAAATGGAGAAGTAAGACCTTTTCAGCGCAGATAAAAATTTATTGTTGTAGAACACAGATTTATGCCTACAAAGTTTGAAAATTACTCCAGAGTCCCCAGATGAAGGGAAGAGGGGCTGGAGAGAGGAAGGGCAAGACCCTCTGGCCCTTGCAGATCACGTTAGGGTTTGGTTTTCTAAGTTCCTTACAAAGCCACTGAAAGGTCTGAGGCAGAAGGGAAGACGTGAGCACGTTTGTCCATTGTTAGACAAACGTAGGAAGTGCTGGGAAAGCACAGAGGAACGCATGTCCTCCGGAAAGTGTATAGAATCTGAAAGAATGAGGAAAAGCTCGCCAGATGTGCAAAATTCATCATCTTTGAATAAAAATAGTTGCACACACAGTAAGGTAAAGTATGGTCAGAATGTGGCTGGTGTGAATTCATGCTACATCTAGGTCCTCATGCCACAGCCTGGATGACAAATCCGAGGTAGAAATTTTAAATGGAGGCATTGGTAAAAGCCTCAGATCTCTGAGGCAAGGCCAGTCTGGGTGGATGAGGATGGCCATATATAATTTTGTCTCCAGACTAGGAAACTTTCAGAGGGGAGAAAGTTTGTTAAAAATTCCAGAACAATTCTCAGTCCCTGGCAGTCCTCAGGGCCAATTGGAATGTGACATAAGGCTGTTCTATTTGGTGGATGAAATATATTGGGCAACTGGAAAAGCTGGCTTTTAATAAAACACAATTTGCATAAACCATTTCCCTAGATGTCCCACTTCTATAGAAAACTATGACATATGCCAAGAGCCTGCCTTTGAAATTGTGCAGAATAGTTCCAATTTGTACCGTCAAAAGGAGTTAAATTGACTCCAGTTTTTGACTGGACTCCAGTTTGGACTCTGTGTTTCCATTTTTTTTTTTTTTATAACACGCTTCTCCTTGTCTGTTACTCTCAACTTCTTATCTCTTTGAATCCACTTTCTCCTTCCATTGGGGATTGCAGATCTTTCCAATCCCACCTTTCTTCATAGCAGTGTTAATCAGAATTGTTTTGATAGCGGGGGGGAGGGGGCAGAAACCCAGCCATGGGAAGCAATAGGCTGCTTGCCAGCTGAGCTCCACCTCTCGGACACCTGGTAGAACTGCACTTGGAGGTCTCCCTCTCATTGGAGCTTGTCGGTGGGTGTTGAGCTCTTTCCTGTGGTGTAGAAGTTGGTGGCATGCTACGCAGGTGCCTTTCCAACGGCCTGCATTCCAGAGTGGGCACAACACAGAACGGTATTCTTTCTTAATGCACAATAGACTGGAAAGCGGATGAGTGAGATAAACCTTTGCCGCTGTCTACCACTCAGGATTTGAGAATGTTTTCTGCATGGTAACCTAGCCCATTCCAAATCTTAGGCCATCTGAAGCTTGCATTACTTGGAGCTACTGCTGGCTAGCTCATGGAATCCACAGAAATAAAAATCTGGGCCTTAGGAGCCCTAGGGGATTAGAGTGATAGACAAAGCAGTGTATGAACTAGCACCATCCACCTTTTCCCCTTTTTTTCCTTTGTTCCTCGTTTGTCATTAGGCTGCCATTTGTTTTGGTTGCATTCATCTAGAAGGAAGAATTCTACCAAAAACCCAGATTTTATCACTTTGTCCTGGTTTGTCGTGTTCCGTGGAAAGTGTCTCATGACCCTCCGTGTTCAGATGGTAGCACAGAAGATTCAGATGGGCTGGGCATAGGCTGTGGGTGCCTCCTGGAGCCAGCCACGGGGAAATGCAGGTGTCAGCCCTGCTCACTCGAGTGTGTCCACACGCTTTGGACTACTGGTATCCATACAGTCTGCATGTTTTTAAGGAAATTTGTGTAAATCATTGCCTATTTTGTGGACTTCCTTTTAGGAAAAAAGCTGGATGGCAACAATGTGTAAATCCCCATTCACTATGGCATGTAGCTAGGACTACTAATATTATCTTAATAGGCCTTGTAGACTGTTCTCTCCCCGAGTTGGTCTCCCCATGTGATCTGGCATAGTCCTTTACAGTTAGTGTAATCCAACAGATTAAATAACTTGTTTGGCTAACATTTGGCCATGCTATTTACTACAGGCTCCAAGGACTAAATTGTGTAGGTTTCATTGATTAAATGTACCCCTTTTCGGTGATGTTATCAAAGTCCTCACTAATCTGAGAGCACAAAAATCTTTTTCTTTTTAGTTGAGAAATATCATTCAGCAGTGCTAGTTAAGAGAAAGGAATTATGGAGCCTTGCAAGTTCTCGTTCAAATCACTAAATTGAATCTCTGTAATTGGTATTTCATTGAATTGACTTTTTTTTTTAGTTCAAGCCTTGCTTAATTATGTGGCTGGGAGCACTGGTGGTAGGCTAAGAAGTGCTGTACGTATTGTTTTTCACACAGACGGACTGTAGATCCTACTAGAGCCTACCCGTGACTTTTGTGTTAAAGGGAAGCGACATTGCTGGAATCCATCAAAGCCACAGCTGACGATTTAGAGCTTTGCTGCCCACACTTCAGTCCGTGGCCACCTGGGGCTTCCTCCAAATGCACACACCTCTCCCCTCAGTCCAGACCTAGCGGAGCTGCAGAGAGATCTCTGGGTGATTGGTGGGTTTGTAAACTGCAGAGGAGAATCTGCCTCCTACTGAGGACTGACTGTAAGTGACGCGTGTCTGCAGAAAGCCAGGCCAGTACCCTAAGGAGGACACTCACGTGACATGAGTTACCATCCACCCCCCAGGAACTCGGGAAGGGCGTCACTGTCCCCCATGTTTCAGGATCCTCCTCCATAGAAGAGTCCGGGCAACTTTCATAGAGAAATAAAAAGTCTGAGTTCACACTGCTTTACTCTTTAATGGTGAGTGCTCAGTAGGCAAAGGAGCCCAAAGTCTCCTGGGTAAACAAGTCCATGGCTGAGTCATGAAGTCTAAGGAATAAAGTCCAAGCCGTGAGTTTGACCCGGGCAAGCCAGTTAACATCTCAATCTGACCATCTCAGTCTTGCTGGCTTTGATAATCTTTCTTTGAGCTCGTGGAATATTATTCATTTTAGCCATGGGCTGGGTTGGAAGCGGAGCCGCCAAGATTAGAATCTGAACTCTAGCAGAGGATGCTAGCATCCCAAACGACAGTTTAACTCACTGCACCACGCCAGCTTCACTACATTTTCGAACAGGTGTCCCCTTGACTCTGAATCACACCTCATTGTCCAAGGATATATGAATTCCCAGTTTGATCAGAACCAGGGGATTTTCCCCCTCAAATCCTACAAGCATTCACAAAGATCAACATAACATTCACCATATAACCAGTATGCGAACACATCCATCTTGATCGGAACCCAGATTTTATTATTATACACTGTTAAAACTTAATTCCAAGCACATGCAGTTAATGTTTGCAGAATAGGATATATTTCACAAAACACATTCAGGATTTAAAAGAAAAATATATATTTATTGAAAGAACACAATGTATTTAAAATACTTATAGAAAGCCTGTTTTCTTCAGTCCTAAAAACTTTGTAATTTTGTCTTAAACGGTAAACTTATTTTATTCAATCTAGTTAAACAGCTAATGGCAATAGAATTTGGCAGAATAAAACAAATGCTTAGGTGTATAATTCCAAAATAGTATGATTCACATCTAATCTTTTTCTTTCTTTTAATCTAATTTTTGACTTAAAAAAGATAGTTCTGAAGAGACTTAAATATATGGTGATGGTTGGAAAGCACACATGCATAAAAAGAATGTTAAAAAGGAAACTAATATATACTCTACAAATATAATGTTCACACTCTCAACTTTATATAGGGAGAGAGTAAGCGAAGCTAAGCCAAAAGAAAGCCAGGTTTTTAAATTTTGTTTCCTTTTCTTGTACTGTTGGCTGCCTGGACCTTGCCCTGTGGTAACCCATTTGGATCAGAAGTTGTAATGCTGGGTGTAGAACTTGGTCAAAAAATGTTTTCCTTGTTATTTCCTGATGGACCTTGATTGAGAACTTCCAAAGAAGTTGGGAGGATGGTTTCCAAGAAGGCAGAGTTCGAACAGTACCTCTTCAGACATCTTTGACAGGCCAATGAGACACACACCTCATCTGGAGATGATCAGGGAAAGGGCTGGGGACAGGCAGGTGTTGTTTCTGGTGGGGGTTGGGGGGCACAGGTGAGACATCAGGTGGAAAAGCCTTTGGATGGTGTTGCGCAGAGAATCTCTGATTTAAGAAGCTCTTACCAACCAGATATTTGCTGCACTTACAAAAGGAAATCTCTTGCTTTCTGGATTGGACATAACTGTTACGTCTGTGCAAACGAACAGGATGAGAAAAGTAAAAGGAGATTTGTTAGCATGCGCTGCAGAAGCCACTAAACAGTGTGCAAAGGATCATTATTTTCTGATCCTGTATGACCCAAAGAGGGCAAAATGACAATGCAGTATGATGGGAAAATCAGCTGACCCTGTTACATGGCTGCAGATGTTGATTTCTGGGTTGCAATTTTGGCAGTTGTTGATTATGTTGCTAACTTACTCTTGGGTCCCACAAGACCATCGATCATGACCAATCTTGCTTGGAAGATTCCCTTGACAAGAGTCTTTTAAGGGATGGTAAACTCACATATGTACCTCTTACTGCTGCGACAGACCTCGTCGCTCCATTTCCCTTGAGCTGACTGGGAGAACAGGACGCAGTTTTCCCGTTTACCACCGTTAGGTTGTGCACGATCCCAGTTGAGGAAGGAGACTGTGGCTCCATTGACATCGACAAACTTGCCATCTGTGACCATGTCGTTGATGCCCAGCCAGAAGTCGTTGACACCTGGCATGCTCTTTTTACCGTAGTCTCGGAGGGCGTTGGTTTCGTCAGAGTTCCTGGGGATAACCAGGGTCCCTCCCTTGGAAATACAGTCTTCATTGGCTTCATGGTAATATTTCAAGCCTTCTGAAGCCAGGTAGCATTTCTTATAAAATTTCGTGCCTCGGAGGCAGACTGTGAGGATGAAAAAAATTTGACATATTAAGATGCTGTTGGAGTGTAATAAGGGGTGAACTTGATCAATAGCAAAAAATATCTGTGTAATGAATAATGCATGGTGATCGTTATGAATATTTATTGAAGAGTTTGCATTGACAGACATCATGCAAACACTTTACATGAATGAAGTACCAACAATGTCGGGGTACACTTAAACAAGAGACTAATAGAATTATGATTCCCTGTGAAGGACCACACTATTGTAGTAAAATGGGGAAAATCTGTCGGGAGGTGGGAGTTGAACTCAGGTATCCTGATGTGAGAACCTTAATGACATGGCCAAATATTCTCCCTGCTACCCTTCTCCCCCTGGACAGGACAGCGATGCTCAGGAAATTGTGATTTACAAAACGGTAGTATGTCAAAATATCACTTATATAGCACGTATAGTCTGCCCTACCCTCAGGAGAGGACCTGCACCCCATGATGTTTGTATATTCATGTTTGGCAATATGTGTAGCTCCAAACGTGCTGGATTTTCTTGGGATTTTAGAACTGGATGATGACTATTTTTAAAATTAAACCTGACTTTGCAGTGAGAGGTTTTCTTAGGCAGGTAAGTGAGTCCTAGTAATATCGTTTAGATTGGGAGACCCAGTCAGTCACAAAGGTAGCTCCAGGGGGACAGCCGTAGGGCCTAGGCTTGGGGCTCCTCAGGGACATTGACTAGCTGTGCAAGTTTGGATAAATCACATAATTTTTCTGGGCTTCTGCCTCTTCATCTACAAAGTGAGGACAGCAGTAACAGCACACGGTGTTGGGGCAGTCAGGATAAATCGGATATGTTGGAGGATTAAGTATTGCTATTAATAAGATAATTACAGGTAAGGGATTAAGAAGACTTTTTTGCTTCTGTGTGAGTATTGCATTTCCCTTTAATTTTCTGTGTCCTGGGACCTGATGGAAAGAGCATGTCATCTGTGTTAGAATGTAGCGTTGTTCATGATCAACATGACAACAGACTGGCAATATACACCTGACCTTGGAGTTAGAGTTTCCAGAGGCTGTAACTTCCGTCTTTCCTCAAGGACAGGCCCTTCTGTCTTTACATTTGGAGTTGCTGCAAGAGAGGCTGGCTCTTGTGTTTCCAAGTCTGTGCGAGGCGGCTCTCATCTCTTCAACTCTTGGAGAAAGCTCCCAGACCAGAGAGTCCAAGACCATTTAAGCTGCAGGGAGCTCTTCTCTCGTGGAAAAGGAGTATCACATGTAATTCTGCCAACAGGCTGTGGTTCTAGCTGCTGCCCTTCCACAAGCACCTGGTGCCGCGCGAGCCTCAGTGGATCCAGCAAAGGCTAGTGACGTTGGTCACCCAACAGTCCCCTCATTGCTAATTAGAGAATAACTTCTGACTGCTGTTTCAAATTCATCGCATAAATATCTGTGAGATATGAGGGAACTTCAAAGGTTGCGCCAAAAAAGTGACTAATACATATTTTTTTGAAATATACATTTTTCCATAAGCTTTTAAAAAGATTCTCATGTATCTTGGATGGATTTCAAGATAGTTTTGCACCAAAATAAACTTAGCTTTTAATTCAATTTCCATGAACTTCTGAAAGTGTCCTCATATAGAACAGGTGACAAAACTAGTTCATTTTGCAAAATTGTCATCTTCCAGATATTGGGTCCTCCCCAAGATTTGTGTCTTGCTTGCCAACATTTTTTTTTTCTTTCTTCCTTTTAAAAATTTCTTTATTTTTTAGTTTGTTTATTTAACACAATTGTGGTGGGGGGTTGGTGAGAGCAAGCTTTCATGTACCAGTTAACTCTCCAAATGTTTGTACCAGCTGGGGCTGGACCACGCTGAAGACAGCAGCCTGGGACTCCAGCAACATCTCCCACATGGGTGGCAACAACTGCAGTCCTTAGGCTGTCCTCTGCTGTCATCCAGGTGCGTTTACAGGAAGCTAGATCAGAAGTGGAGCGGCCAGGACTCAGACTGGCACTCAGATATGGGATGTGGGTGTCCCACATATGGGATGTAGGCATCCCAAGCTGTTGCTTCATTCACTGCACCCCAATGCCTGCCCTGGCAGTATTTCCCTCAAAAAGATGTCTAGATTTTTTTCATATGGCCTTGATGAATTAAGCCCCTGGGATGACCACCTCCCTCCCTGTCTCCTTTGGGAAGACACTGGTGAAGTGGAGTCTTACCTGTCTGCAGGGCTTGCATTTCCTTCAATGCATTGACTTCTCTCCAGAGCTTTTCAACTTGAGTTTTCAGATCTCCATCTTTCTCTGTAAGAGAGGGGTTAGGGGTGGATTTTAGGACAGGCAAAATCAAGAGCATATGATTAATGTAAAAATAAAGGAAACAATAATAACTCTTGGGGATGCAGAATTGAAGGCCATGGTGGTTTTGATGGACCTGAGTTGAATGTGCCTGAAAATATGTAAATAAATAAGGCATGAAAATAAGTTGGCCAAATAAAATAAGGACTTGGTGAGAATCCTTCTGCCAGGGTGTCCTGCCTCAACAACAGGGCCCCTGTCTGTCTTTGGGCTCCCTGACTTCCAGGTGCACCCTAGAAGAAGCTCTTTTCTCACTTCTTGTCATCCTTTGCCTGGGTGACATTTACCCTGCCTCTTTATCAAGTTTAATTATCTCGTTTTCTGAGAAAACTGTCTGCTCTCCTCTAAATTAGAATCCCTTCCGCCAGCCTTTGTCTTTGAAACTTGCTCAGCTTCCTTCAGATTTCTTTTTCCATTTGCTTCCATTTGCCTGGCTGTCCCAATACTGCTGGTGCTTCACACAACACTGGCACCTGCTAGTGTGAGCTCAATATTTCTATGTTATTTTAATTTTCTCTTTAAAAATAGTGGTGAATGGAGGAAATTAAGATTCCCATTACAGAAAGAGGACCTATTGTAGAATCCAGTGTAAAATGAGGGTGAACTCAGTGAGCTGGCAGACATGTGGCAAAACTTGGGCTTCAATTTATCTGGGGTCCCTGTACCTAGAGCGCTCAAACACATGATGGATCAGGAATAGCGGTTTGTAGCAGGATTAGGAGATAAAGCACTGAGGCTGATTTTGTCTTGTAGAGAGTCAAGCTGCCTCCCAGGATATCTGGTATTCCATGTGGGTGCCAGTTTGAGGCCCATTGTTCTGCTTCTGATCCAGCTCTATGCCAGTGTGCCTGGGGAAGCAGCAGGGAATGGCCCAGGTCGTTGGACCCTGGAACCAATGTGGGAGATGCAGAAGGAGCTCCTGCTTTTCAGTCTCAGCTCCAGCTGGGGATGGAACTGGCAGAGGGAATAATCTGTCCCTCCCTCGTAGCTCTGCCTTTCACGTGAGTAAATAAATCTTTAAAAGAGAAAGATGAGGATCATGTAAAAGCACACCTGTATTAGGAACTAGCCACTGACTTAATCCTGGAATCCCTAAAGATGTCCCAGAGTGTCATTCCAGCTGTTCATGGCCAATCTTGGCTCTCAGTAAGTGGAAGACAATGAGCGACATGGGCACTCAGAAATGGATAGCTTGTGAGAGCTTCAAAGTCAGAGCTTACACTAAATCACCACGGCTCATTGATGTAAAAGGCATGGATTTGCACCACACACTCTATGCCTGCAGACGCTCTCTGTATTCCTTTGTGGTGGACACCCCCACGGTCTCTGTTTCACAGAACAGGAGAAAGAGGCACAGAGAGCTCAGTGAACCTGTGAGAGTCCCCAGCTAGAAACCCGAGGAGTTGATATTCAGAGTCCCTGAATCCAGGCCTGTTCTTTCCCTTTCTCCCAACCTGCTTTGACCTCCATGGTCGCTTCAGACAGAGAAGGTGTTGAAATCTTGTGAAGTGTCCCCAGCTGTCTCTGTGGGGTCTCCATACAGGGAATTTGTATTCTAGCCCCTAGCTTCCCCAGGACAGTGTGAAATTCAAATAAGTCAGTGCTCTGTCTCCTCAAGCCAGGTATTTCCTAGACTCAAGTTAGGAGAGTGCCCTCAGAGATGTCTGAGGTGACCTGCACCACTGCTCTTCTTAATGCTATGCATCAACACGCAAAGCACCCAGTACCTCAGCTCAGAATTAAAGAAACCCAAGGATGTTCTCATCGGTCATCCAACCTACAATAAACGCAAGGGTTCAAAGCTGGTGGGAGCCAGCCTTGCAAAGCTGCTGGAGGCTTACCTCCAGGTCGTCCAGATGTCATCACCCGTCCTCTTAGGTCCTTGTTCTGTTTTATGTATATTTTATTTGAGAGGGAGGGGGAACAACTTCCATCCTTTGGCTCACTCTCCACAAGCTGGGTCAGACTGGGTTGGATTTGGGAACTAGGCGCTCATTCTAGGCTCCCATGTGGGTGGCAGGGACCAATTAGTTGAGTTAACACCTGCTGCCTCCCAGGGTGCACACTGGCAGGAAGCTGAGACTGGGAATTGGAATCCTGGACTCAAACCCAGACTCTTCAACAGGGGATACCTGCATCTTACCCACTAGGCTAAAAGCCTACCCACATTCTGGTTAAATGAGTGGCCTTACTGGAGGCCACAAACATTGTAATTAGCCTCGAGGCAAATTAATTAGTACCAGGCTCCTGGGAGGGTCATTATGAAATCATTATCAAAGTGGCTTGTTGTAAGCATTCTAAGTGGATGTGTTTTGCCTACAATGAAGAAAAGTAATGCACAAAACAACTTTTCAAACTGTAAAAGTTACTTTTTATTCATCAATGCAACATATAATTTGTTGAGACCTGTGACGTGAGTGCCAGGGAAGTTTTGGTTTGGAGATGAATTGCCCAATTGCCATTTGAGTGTCTTAAAAGGCTCTTTTTCATTTTATTGTCGTCAGGAGTATGTGCAGTGTACAAATGCAAAATAAAATCCCCTAAAAGGAACAACTAATAAAACCATGATATAATGTGGAGTTGTCACTTGCACTCTGAAAACAGTGCACGGATTAGTGTTGTCATCGGAAGAGGCCATTAGAAAGCATTACTAACCTGCAATTTTCCTTCTAGGAATGTCATCTCATCCTAAAAGAGGCAATGTGTACAAAGCAGCACACTGAGGGCATTCCAAAAGGAAAAATATTCTGGAAACTACAGAAAATTTCACTAAGAAATATTTAAGTCATGAACAAACCAAACAATGAAATGTTATGCAGCTAGTAAAGAGAGAGAAGGTACTTGGCACAGAAGTTGGGGTGCAGCTTGGGATCCCTGCGTTCTGTATTGGAGTGCTGGGATTCATGTCCTGACTATGCTCCCAATCCCAACTTCTTTATAATGCACACCCCGGAAGTGGTAAGCGGCAAGAGCTGGACCCCAGCCACCCATGTGGGAGGTGGCCTGACTCCCAACTTCAGCTGGGCTCAGCTCGGGCTGTGGTGAGGCATTTGGGGAGTGAACCAGTGGGTGGAAGATTTCTGTCTCCACCTTCCAAGTAAATACAAATAAAACCAGTTAAAAAAAGATTCCAGTTGGATCCTAAGGAAAACCAGGTCCTCCCTTGAGAAAAAGAAAAAATGAAAATGCCTCACACGGACAGCTGGCCAGGATTTAATAATGAAATGTATTTATAGGCATTTAATCCAGCCAAATTCTTATTTTTATTAAAAGCATGCATTTTTTGCATAGCCAATTCCATTTGTATTTGTGAAACTAAAAATGTTAATAGAATATTAAAAATATCTGGGCATGTCTTCATGTGGCAGTTATGTGCAGAATGTCGTGGTGAGAACCAAGAGTAAAAATGGCATTCACTTCTGAGTTCATAAACTGTAGGTTTATTTCAAGACACTTAGAAATACTACGAAGGCCCAAGGATAGGGAAGGACCGCTTGGCACACATAGATTTTCTTCTTTACTTCCCAGAGAATCTGCTTTCTTGGGCCCTCATGACAAGAATCAGCAAAAATGATTTTGGGGTAGATAATGTTTAAGATGCACACCCAGTGGGCTAAAGACATAAACATGTACAATCATATGAGTATGTGGAGGAGAGGGAACACGCACTCGTGTGTCCATTCTCTTTCCTTGTTTCCTTAGTGGGTGGTCGCCATTTTCCTTCTGCGTCCCAAGGAGAAATGTGGTCATAACAACATGCCACGCCGCACTTCCCCCATCCCTGCCTGCAGCATCAGTACACACTTCATCCACTCATATTCAGCTCCTCATGATAGATACTGCCTTCTTAAAATAAGAAGGTATAGTATTCATAAGGAAAAACAACGCTCCACCTAGGAAGCCTTGCCGTCACACCTAAACTTTATAAATGCCCCATAGAAATCACCAGAATGATACACAAAAGAAACTCTCCGTTTTACCTACCCAACTTTGTGCCACAGCAAATCAAAACTTGCACTTTGCTGGGGACTTTTCTGTGTGTGTTTTTTTGTTTTTTGATTTTTTTTTTAACTAGGGAAGTACATCTGATTAGGATATAATTCCATAATATTTGCCTTGAGGCATCTTGACATGAAAATCAGACAGTGCATGAAATCAGACAGAACCCTGTGTCTTGATACTCCTTTCATTCGCTTCGGTGACAGCAGATTGCAAACAAACCACCATCATCTTCATTCTTTGCACTGTATTTTAAAGCTCCCTAACCCAGTTGAAACTGTTCAGAACTTGGAACTGGCTTAGAGATTCAGTTTTGTTCCCAGATGCTTTCAAACACTATTGACATATTTTTCACTTAAAGGAAGATTTAGTTTCTCTATCGCATAGCAGGTTCAAAATAAATTCTTATAGGATCAGGGATATGGCAATGTGGGGATAACCAGCGACAAAAAGGAAAGTCACAGTGACCACTACCTCAATCCTTGACACATTTACAAAACTATGCCTGTCTTAGAAATAAATTTGAATAGAGACACTCAGTGGCTACTTTGAAATAGTGGATTCTGCTCCAACGCCCATAACGCCATATGTCCACATACCCAGCTATACTCCTGGACAGTGTCTGCATCATAAAGCCTATCTGGCAATGGATATGCAATGTAAACTTTTTTTTAAATATACATATATTATGATATACCCTTCTGTGTTTAAGAAAAATTATAACACAAAAAACCCTTTTACCTGCTTCCTTTTGCTATCAGACTGTTCCGGGGAAGTGGAAGGCCACCAGCCCCCTGACATGCCACACGCAGCTGGTGGCTTGTGCTGCTTCCAGCCGCAGTCTGCTGGGGTAGACTGGATGAGAACATAGCTCAGCCGCCCCCTCGCCCCCGGCCACCAACACTGAGTAAGCTGAGTGTTTGCCTAGGCTGAGAAGCCCCCTTACCTTTCACTCGGCGTTTGCTGTGCTTCCTGGCTTTCAGTCTGGACGTGTGGCTGGTGGTCTGGTCCAGGAGTAAGGTAATCACCAGGATGCAGATCACAAGGCCAGTCTTTGCCATGGCTCTTGTACAAGCCTGCTAGCGCTCTAAAGCTGCAAGGGGTAAGTAGGTGGCACAGCCACATGTCGCTCTGCAGTGCCTGGGCCAGCTTTATAAAAGTGAGCTGCGAAGGTTGGCTGGAGTCCTGCTGACGAAATGTTTGAATGGGCCCTGCTGGCCACAGCATGAGGCAGCTCCTTGTTCTCAACCCTCGTACTGGGATTTTTATTTGTTTTTCTATTTCTTCAACATTTCCTAGTTGATCCGCCTTTCTGGAGTGCCCTTAGAGTTAACTAAGGATTTTTGCCTTCTTTTTTCTTTTTCATTTAAAGTCTGAGGAGCTTAGGGTCTCAAGTGCATCCAGGGGATGGCTTGTTCAGTGGGATTTACAGACACCTGAAGCGGATGCTCCATTCTAAAGTCTAAGGCCCCGTTCATTCAGATTTTATGAACACACCAAGAATTACGGTCTTGGGAAAACAACCTTACAGTGAAAAGAAAGTTAAGACAGTGAATTATTTCCATAATAATGTATGTGTCAGGAATAGTAAGTTACTCCTGACATATTATGTTTCACTTCCACGTAAATGATTAAACCAACCACAGTGGAATGAAAGATTGCATATTATCGTTATTCAGACCTTGACTGTGCACTTGAAGGCTGAGTGCTAGCGACCAGACAGGTTTTTGCGTTGAAAGCTGCAGGCTTTCATGCAGGTGTGCCCGGGGTCGGATGAGTTCACCCCAAGGCAGAGTATTAGTGGACCCCACCTAGTTGCGGGATGAGCAGAGGTGAGGTGAGGCCCAGCAGTTGCAGAGGTGAGAGATCTGAAGGGCCAAGTTTATTTCATTTTCATTTTTCTTTAACAAGTGAATCAAAATCTGGGAGCGATTTTTCCCTTCTGAATCTTAGTAAACAAAATTGTCTTTCTTTTCTCTTTTGAAGATTTATTTATTTTTATTGGAAAGGCGGAGTTATAGAGAGAGGAGAGATAGAAATATTCGATCTGCTGATTCACTCCCCAAATAGCCGCAATGGCCAGAGCTGGACCTGTCTGAAGCCAGGAGCTTGGAGATTTTTCTGGATCTCCTATGTAGGTAGGGGACTTGTGCCTTTTCAAAAACTTGGGACATCCTCTGCCTATTTCTGAGCCCATTAGCAGGGGGCAAATTAAGTGGAGCAGCAGATATTTGAACTGGTGCCCATATGGGATGCTGACTCAGCAGGCAGAAGATTAATGTGCTATATGCCATGGCACTGACCCCAACAAAATCACATTCTAATCCATCTTTATTTCCTCAGCTCATACCACTTTGTCATCTACCTGTGTATCAATATGAAGAGAGGACGAGTGAGGTAGAAGACTCTGACGATATTTAGCATGTGTGAGTGTGAAGTATAAGATAAAGGGTTTTACCTATTATTCTCACCCTTCTTTTGTACACAGGAATTTGAGAGCATTGTGCAAAGTGACCAATCTCAGTTCACATGCTAGTGTGCCTCATTTGTGTGTTGGAACAGTCAGCTCAATGAGTCTTTTGTCTTTAACAATGGGGCTGGGAATGCTTGGTTTACAGAATTGCTGGGGAGATTACATAAAATAATGACTGATAAAGCACTTAGCATAGTATGGACTACTTAATAAGACTCCTCATATTAATAATAATAGTCTGTACCATGTATGGAATGTCAAGTCATCTCGGTCTTTGTAGCAAGCCTGCGGAATAGGCATTCTCCACTCTGGAGCAGGCATTCTCAGCTTCTTATAGGTGATTAAAAGTGAGCCTCAGGCCCAGCGTGATAGCCTAGAGGCTAAAGTCCTCATCTTGAATGCCCCAGGATCCCATATGGGTGCTGGTTCTAATCCCTGCAGCCCCACTTCTGAACCAGCTTATTGCTTGAGGCCTAGGAAAGCAGTAAAGGACAGCCACCGCCTTGGGACCCTGTACCCACGTTGAAGACCTGGAGGAAGATCCTGGCTCCTGGCTTCGGATCAGCACAGAACCACCTGTTGTGGTCACTTGGGGAGTGAATCATTGGATGGAAGATCCTTCTCTCTGTCTCTCCTCCTCTCTGTATATCTGACTTTCCAATAAAAATAAAAAGAAATCTTTAAAAATTTATAAATCTTTAAAAAAACAGTGAGCCACAGAAAAGTTAAGTGGTTTCGTCTGGTGATGGTAAGAGCTCAAGGGCCTTAGATATTTCAACCCAGTTTTTTTTTTTTTTTTAAAGATTCATTTTTATTGGAAAGGCAGATCAGATTTATGGGGAGAAGGAAAAACAGATCTTTTATCTGCTGGCTCACTCCCCAAATGACTGCAATGGCTGGAGCTGAGCCGATCTGAAGCCAGGAGTCAGGAAATTCTTCCAGGTCTCTCATGCTGATGTAGGGTTTCAAGGCTTTGGGCCATTGCTTTTCCATACCACAAGTAGGGAACTGCATGGGAAATGGAGTAGCCAGGACATGAACTGGCACCTATATGGGATCCCAGTGCAGTAAGATGAGGATTTAGCCATTGAGCCTTCATGCCGGGCTCTCCAATCCAGTTTTGATTGACTCCAGAAGACCTGGGCTCTGAAAATGTGCTTTGGTTTAAACAGAGTGACAGAATCAATGCTTTCCAACTGATCTCATGATTGAATTGTCCACATCACCATTCATGTTTCCATCATCTCAGGGACCCATTTCAGAAACCTGTGAGTCATCTTTGAGTGCTTGCCCTCAGCAACTTTGTCAGCAGTAAGGGCTGTAGTTTCCACGTACAGGTCAACTGACCACCTTTCTTCTTTCTGGCTTATCCCATCTCATGTCACAAAGAGCTCTTGTCCGATCCCATCTCACCTTCACTCTGTCCAAGACAAATCAATGTTTCTTGTATCAGCGGTGTGAGTTGCCTCTCTTCCCCTTAAACCTCTCCAAATTGCCTCATTGTGCTTAAAATGAAACTGAGACTTCTCATAGTTTATGAGGCCTGTTTGCCTGATGAGACTGTACCTGGCTTTTCTTGATGATTTTCTCTGGTCACTTGAACTGTCATTTTTTTTTTTCTTTGTAGCCAAATCTCTGTTCCACCTGGGTCTATGTATGTTTTTCTTCTGCCATTTCACACCCATTCTCTCCCAAACTTGAACTTTGTGCGTCTATCATCTAGCATATAACTGACTCCTCCTTGTCCTTCAGGTCTGACTTGATACGGGCCCTCTACCTGTATAATCTAGACTGATCCTACTATGCTATTTGCCACCCAAGTGCCTTGCTTTCTTATCACAACTTGATACTCGTTTAGAACTTTATTTTCTTAATGCATGTATGTGCTGGATTGACTGATTCTACGGGCTCCAGAGGGTGGAGGCTGGGTCAGGCTAACTGAAATCTGCATGTAGTTCTGGTACTTGGCACATAATATTTGCTCAATAAATATTTGCTAATGTGTAACAGGGAAGCTTTGATTTGCTTCCTTTCATTTCTACCTTCTCCTGGAGGTTCAAGCAGAAAGGCACTTGACCAACCAAGGGAAACAGTGACTCCAACCTGTGAAACAGTGAAAGGACTCGTTCGGTGCAGTGACACTTGGAGTCATGCTAAGAAACTTAGCACAGGGGACTCACTGACTGGTGTCTAGGTGCTTGACTTCGAGGCTAGACAGGGACAGAAACTTACCCTTAACTGCAATCTACAGGAATTCCAAGGTCTGTAAATCCTCCTTCATGGAAGAACAGCAACAACAAAACGTCCTCCAAACCAAGCAAGCTAAATGGCTGCCACGCTTGTTGGGAGTGGTAGACTGTGTGGTTCTGGGTAGAGGCAGATACGGGAACATTATCAGTCCTCAAGGACTCAGGTGCTTGGCACAACTCTGACTGCCACTGTCACAAGCATTGAAACCTGGATGTGGCCTGCTCCTTTTAGGTGAAACCCTTTCCTCGGTGAACAAGAAAAGCCTAGGTTAGTAGCAGGGAGCTAAACAAAACCTTATCAAGAACTACACACCAGCAAAGATGACAGCATGGGGTGGTCCCTTCCCCGCCTTGCCCCTGGGGCCTGCGGCCTTTTTTTTTTTTAACTTATTGGAGGCCAAACAGTTCCTTTTCTATGGAGCAGGATGACGTCACAAGCTTGTCTCCTGGGCTAGATCTGAGTTTCTGAAAGAGCTATTTAAGAAGAGGCGACGTGTTCATAGCCAGGGAATAGGAACTATAAAAATATTGCTTTTAGAAAAAAAAAGTTATGATGAGGCTGTTAAAGCTGTCACCAGGGTTTTCTTTCATAAATTGCTGTTTGCAGCACAACCCCTGACCACCCTCTGTAACTGGTGTGTTTATTCCACTGTTGCTATTTTAAAGTTGCTCTAAGCTGTTTTCCAGAGTCTCGAATTCAACCAACAAATCCATCCGGCCTCATTGCTACTTGTCTATTAATATTCTAGGCTGAACACGTTTGTAGGCTTTGCTCAGAGGTTCAAGGACAAAATTTAGGGGAGGTGATAGGGCTGAACTTGACTGTAGCACAAGTGAGACCAACATACCGGCAGGAAAGATCAGCTCTGGAAAATGTGCAGAGTTGCCTTGTCTCTACTCTGGTCGACACAACTGGGATTTTCTGAAAGTATCAGAGAATTTAAAGAGAGTTGGGGACAGCTTTTAGGGAAGTAGGCTATGAGGTAGCTTGAGTTGAGGCAGCATTGAATAAAGAGCAAGGAGTGGTTTTTTTTTTTCAATTTTTATTTAATTTGTATTTATTTTGCTTGAAAGGATTATAAAATGAGGGAGGGAGAAATAGGAGGCGAGAGATCGCATGTACGTGCACAAGAGAATTAATGATCTTCCATCCACCGTTTCTCTCCCAAAACACCACTATGACCAGAGTTGGGCCAGTCCAAAGCTGTGAACCTGGAGCTTCTTCTGAGTCTCCCATGTGGGTTCAGGAGCCCAAGGACTTGGGCTCTCCTCTGTTGCTTTCCCGGGCCCATTAACAGGGAGCTGGATTGAACGTGGGATAGCCAGGACTTAAGCTGGT